ACGACGCCCCAACCCCCTGATCCGCCCTGCTGTGTGTATGACAGGGGGCGGCGCCCTAACTCCCTAATCAGCCCTGCTCTGAGCCCGACCAGGGGCTGCACCTAGGGATTGGGCCTGCCCTCTGCCACCCAGGAGCAGGCCTAAGCCAGCCCTAAGCCAGCAGGTGGTCATCCCCTGAGGGGTCCCAGACTGCGAGTGGGCACAGGCCGGGCTGAGGAACCCCCCTCCCCCCCGAGTGCACAAATTTTTGTGCACCGGGCCTCTAGTACTCTTTATAAAAGAGTATTTCAAAAGACAACTTTACATCACTACCCTACCTCTGACCATGAACAGAAAAGAAAATCACAATGGAAGAGTATTTTTTCTTTATTTCCATCACCACTTTGGATCAATATTTTTAAAAAATATCATTCAGTTCCAGGTACATGCTGTTTACTGTGGTGACACGGAGCTCGAGATAAGCTCTGGGTGAGCAGAGAAGAGAGAATGATATTTGATTCTCAATTTCAATATTTTAACCACCAAAGTTCACATACTATTTACCATAATTTCCTGGGCTCCCCATGGCACTTTGTACAGATCTAGGAAAACGTTAGTTTAATTAATGTATTAAACTGAACCACTATTATATGCCTAACTCAGGAAATATAAAAATATATAACTCAAGAAGTTCACATTGTGGTAAAACATTTATAGTGATACTTTTATTTCTCAAACTTTTTAAAAAAAATACACTTTTATTGACTTCATAGAAGAAGGGAGAAAGAAATGGAAACATCAATGATGAGAGAGTCATTGATCGGCTGCCTCCTGTACGACCTGGGGATTGAGCCCCAAACCAAGCATGTGCCCTTGAGCAGATTCAAACCTGGGACCCTTCAGTCCACAGGCCAACACTCTATCCACTGAGCCAAACCAGCCAGGGCTACTTCTCAAACTTTTAAATCATTACTTAATCTGTTGAAAGAAAAAAAATCTATGTGATACATTTTTCATGGTAACTTGTATATGTGTACCTTATCCAGGGATCAAGAACATGCTTGGAATCAGTGTTGTCACCGTAAGGAAACATTCAAACCTGTAAAAAAATTTTGTGTTTCTTTGAGCCAAACTGTCGACAATTGCCAGGAAGCAGAATCTCACCGCATTGAGACAATGCTCTGGAAAATGGTGGTTTTTCACCCATTTTTATACATTACAATCAAAGGAGGAAACATAAATGGGATCATAAAATTCACTGGTGATAGATTAGGAAGGTGCAGAAAGCAATGCTGGAAAACCTCTGGGATTCTTTTACACAATTAACATCATAACAATAACAATTCAGGAACTTGTGGTCATCCTGGTGTCCTGGGGCATTGGTTGTGCCCTGAGGGGTTCAGAAAAAAGGACGTTAGATGGAAAGGACAACGACAGGCTTAGTTATGGTAAAGATAGACTCTTGTCAGGGAAGAATCTAGCCTAGGACTACCTGCCATAAACTGCTTTTAGTTAGAACGTTTTCACTTCAGACCATCCTTTGTGGTGACTTTAGGTCTCTCGAGTTTGCAAGGCCACCACACAGGCCTCCCCTGAGCTAGTCAGGCTAGCAGGTGGCCCCTTTCGTCCACAGTGTACGCCATCTTATAAAGTCCTAAAAAAACTGGGGCCTTGTTATTGTCTCCATTTTGCTGAAGAATCACATGTTGGGGTCTAGCCCCGCCCCAGCAGGTCCAGGGGTTCCCAAAGGTGTGGATGGAGTCGGCGAAGAAGGAATGACACGGAGACAGCGTTCAGATGATCAGCATAGCCAGGTTCTCTCTTTATTCTCTCATTACATCTGTATTTATACCATTTGATCCTATAAGCATGCCTCTATAGGCACATCATGGTATGTTTTGGGTCCTACAGCTCCTTGTTTCATGTCCATAGTTTCTTATCTGACTTTTGCCAAAAATCCCATCTCCATCTAGTTCGGTTGATTTTAATCCTATCCATTCTATTCCAAAGGTGTTATCTCCATTCCAAGGTCACTACTCTACTATTCTGTTAAACTACAAGGAAGTAACTGAAGGAGATTATCCTAAGTAAATATTATGTAGCTTAAGCGTGATTGTTCATAGTTATGGAGATAAACTACCCACCTGGCACTTAGTTAAGGGGTTTTACTGATTCCCTTCCTTAGTCCTGTTAATCCCTAACTCCAGGGAAAAATCCCCACCTGGGGAAACAACCTTTCTCAGGGAGGTGGTCCTGGTTAAAACACATAGCACTAAGAGGGGGAACAAACATATGCCATATACGCCAGGTCCCTTGAAACATATGCTGTGCAGATGTTTCTTCCCTGCAGCAACTGTGTCAAGCAGCAAGGGTGGACCGGCTTCCAGCAATCACAGGCTCACCCTGGCTGGCTGGGTGGCTCTTTCCGAGTATTGTTTCTCTCTCTTCCTCCCTCCCTCCCTCTCTCTCTCTCTCTCTCTCTCTCTCTCTCAAAAAAAAAATCAATAAACATATCCTTGAGTGAAGATTAAAGAAAAAGAAAGAATCACAGGCTCGTTGAAGTATCCACGACACCCAGCTAGCAGGCATCAGTCTACTCAGGTGATAAAACTCAGGAAAAACTGACCTTTAGAATCAGATTTTTCTCATCCGTTTCTATGCTTCAATCTCTTTCTCTCTGTTCTAGAAATTATTCTTTAGGTAAAAAATATTGACAAAAATTATTTGGAGCAAATCATGTGAATTATTGGAGCTACCAGCTATAAATTCCAATGAAAACCAATAAAGTGACATAAATGCTGGCGTGTGAGGGCCCCGCTGTGTGAACCTTGTCTAGATGGGCCAAAATGCCCTCTGCATGTTCATCTCCTTGCTGCTGACTTTAGCCACCGTCCTCCATATTCTTCTAGACATCGTCTTCTCTGCCGACAATTCCAGGTCACTCAAGCAGTCCCTGACACAAAACACACATTTATACGTTAGGTCTGATCAAATAATTGAATCGATACTCCCTCCCCTGCGAACTGACCTTTAGGACACTTCACAACCGACGTTCCCTTTAGCTTAGACCACATTCCACTTGCTAAGACCATTATCCTTCCCCTCCAGACCTTCCTAGGATCCAGATCCTCCCAGACAGTTTTCCGCCCAGAGAAAGCCGTCTAGAGTCCTTTAAAACCTCTGACTCTCCATCCCTGGGTGCTGGCACCATTTTGTGACTCAGCCCATCTGGTATCCATATGACCTAATCCATTTATCAGCCCTTACCACTTTGGCCTCGTGCGTTCTTCCTTTGGCGACTCTAACATATTCACATTCTCCAGGCCCGGGACGTAAGTGTTTAGGTATCTTAATGCCTCTAAATTCTGTTCCCATTTTCTCTCCTGGATATTATCTTTGAATTCCCTCATTCTACAAGACAAGACAATATCAGAATTGGCTGTTTATTTTCTGCATCTGTGCACTAATGGCCAAATCAAAGGCACCTGTGCTTTGAAAAGTAGTGATTTAAAAACCCCAAATGTATGGGGAACTTACTATCCACAAATATCTTGTGATGTGGAAGGAGAGAAGATACTTTTTTTTTAAAGTGTGATTTCTCTTATAACAGCATTGAGGGAAGGGTAGACACACATATACAGTGGGGCCTTGACTTACAAGTTTAATTCATTCCGAGACTGAGCTCGTTAAGGAGCTCGTTAACTCAAATTACTTTGTCAACTCAATGCAAAAAATCAGCCGAGAGACAGCTGGTATCTCAAAAAACTCTTAGGACACTCATAAGTCAAGGCCCCACTGTAGTTACAAAAGTACATAACAGTATAGACTAAATACACACATGTGCGTACAAACACATGCATGGCCCTGCAGAGGGCTGTCATAGGTTCTATGAGAAGCTGAGTTAACAGCTGGAGAAGATGGGCTGCTGACTGAGCTAAAATCTTGCGTTTTCTGAATCTACATGTTCTTCCAGTGGCCTCTGTTGGTCTTTTTCTTCTACACTCTCGAAGAGAAAGTCATACAGTCGAGAGATGTACCAGTGGGCGTGGGGTCCTCACAGGATTTCCTTATGATTACATAGATGATTCTTGGAACTTGTTTTATACAACTTCTATTTCTACCTCAGAGCTTTTCCTCATTCATTCCCTTGCCCTGCGTGGATCAGAGGTAGGCACTGCCTGCTATTTAAAAACATTTACTTATGAAACTACCTCTTAAAATTCTTTAAAAAAATTTTTTTAAACCACACACATGTGCTTCAAGAGAAATTTGGTCTTTTCCTAACCGGTTTGGCTCAGTGGATAGAGCGTCAGCCTGCGGACTCAAGGGTCCCAGGTTCGATTCCGGTCAAGGGCATGTACCTTGGTTGTGGGCACATTCCCAGTGGGGAGTGTGCAGGAGGCAGGTGATCGGTGTTTCTGACTCTTTCCCTTCCTCTCTGTGAAGCATCAATAAAATAAATTTTTTTAAAAAAGAGAAATTTGGCTTTATTTTCAAGCTTTATAAAAAGGTACCACATATATATCAACCTTCTGAGATTTATGTTTCTAAAGTTCTTTGGAGTGCTGTGTATTTCAATCCTTTTCTGTGCGATATGCTATCCCACTGTGTGAATGCACCCCAATAGACATATTGGCCATTAACATGTGGTTGCTTCTAGTATTTTGCTATTCAAAATAGCATTGCTCATTTCTCACAGATCTCACTGCCGTGTGCAGAATACTCTCATGTAAACACCTGGGAGTGAACTGAATCACCAGGGGGCCCGTAATTGCATACAGGGCATTGTCAGAACGCTTCAGCAAATACATTCAGGATGGAAGTCATTCCATGATGATCCTGGGAAAAGACCAAACGTTTTAAATACCTATGCTGTCCCCAAGGGCTTACAATGGAGAGGTGGATTTTGACATCCTGGGTTGGGGGCGGGGAATGGCCCACTGCTCCCCTTGTTCTTTTTTTTTTTTCTGCTCTACTTTCCAATCTTTAAATTTTTCTTCCAATTAGTAGAGAAAGAGTACATGCAAGCAAAGCAGAGAAAAAACATGGATTTGATTTGACAGGAAGAGTAATTTCACTCAGAGAAATGAGAAAGTGAGTAAAATGGCGGTTCCTCTCACAAAGCCTCAAGGCCCCCAATTCTGCAATGAACCCTGAATCGTATTAAAGCAATAATAATAGAATTGCACAGGGATGTCGTTCCTTCCAAACTTCCCGTACATCTGGATTGGCTGTTACTGCTGCCCACTTTGACCTGACGGATGCGTGAGATATCTCACTTTTTCCCTTTTGGCTTTCTAACTTTAATACTTAAGAAACCAGCGCACAGGGGAAGAGTACTAGCGTCGTCCACCCGCCAAAGGGAAATAAGACAGCTGGAATCCTCAGTGGGTGCGAAATGCAACATTATCAAGGCACACATTGCATGAATGGGACATTCAAACTTCACACAGAAGCCTTTAGCGGTTAACATGGTTAAGTGTGATTGGATTGTTTTACGATGAGCATTTTGCTTTTCTTTACTGCACTTGCCAATCTCAAAATGTAGAGGTGGCCTCAGCATGCGCTGCATCGCAGTGAAAGTTTACAACTAGACCGCAAATAACACTTACCCGGTATAAAGAGTGAGTCAGTTCTTTTTAGAAGACTGAGTGGCTCTGAAAAGAGCCTTTGGGTTCAGGAGTCAGGCCGCTCGCTCGCGCGTCTACTTGGAGCTGGTGTACTTGGTGACGGCCTTGGTGCCCTCGGACACGGCGTGCTTGGCCAGCTCGCCGGGCAGCAGCAGGCGCACGGCCGTCTGGATCTCGCGGGACGTGATGGTCGAGCGCTTGTTGTAATGCGCCAGGCGCGACGCCTCGCCCGCGATGCGCTCGAAGATGTCGTTGACGAACGAGTTCATGATGCCCATGGCCTTGGACGAGATGCCGGTGTCGGGGTGCACCTGCTTGAGCACCTTGTACACGTACACCGAGTAGCTCTCCTTGCGGCTGCGCTTGCGCTTCTTGCCGTCCTTCTTCTGCGCCTTGGTCACCGCCTTCTTGGAGCCCTTCTTCGGGGCGGGCGCGGACTTGGCGGGCTCGGGCATGGTCGGGAGCTCAGCGGGCTTGGTGGGTGAGAGGAAAAGTAACAACGAAGCGCGCTGTGGCCTCTTTATATAGAACCTCGCATGCAAATAAGGTGATAAACCAGAGCCCTGTGTGTGTTGGCTCCTGAGAGCAAGCTCAAAACTTAGCTCTGCCCAATCAGAGCGCCAGAATCCCAAACTTGCACGCTCACTGGTTTAGATGAAGCTGAAACCTGAACCAATGACACAGCTGCTTCTTCGCGCCACAAACGTTTATAAAAAGTGCCGCCCGCGCACTTTCACTTTTGCAGCCACTTGCAGTGAAGTTTGTAGAGACTTATTTTTAATTTCCTAATGTCCGGACGCGGAAAGCAGGGCGGCAAGGCGCGCGCCAAGGCTAAGTCTCGCTCCTCGCGGGCCGGACTGCAGTTCCCCGTGGGCCGCGTGCACCGGCTGCTCCGCAAGGGCAACTACGCCGAGCGCGTCGGGGCGGGCGCGCCCGTGTACCTGGCGGCCGTGCTGGAGTACCTGACGGCCGAGATCCTGGAGCTGGCGGGCAACGCGGCCCGCGACAACAAAGAAGACGCGCATCATCCCGCGCCACCTGCAGCTGGCCATCCGCAACGACGAGGAGCTCAACAAGCTGCTGGGCAAGGTGACCATCGCGCAGGGCGGCGTGCTGCCCAACATCCAGGCCGTGCTGCTGCCCAAGAAGACCGAGAGCCACCACAAGGCCAATAAAGACCACGTTTGAAAACGAGTGAACAAAGGGTCTTTTCAGAGCCCCTCCTATAGTCACTAGAAGGGCAGCGCGACTTAGTTGCATTTCCAATCACTTTCACCTCTTAGCCATTCAGTGTAATTTGTTACCCAACACAAGGTGCCGTCCTTGCCTCAGCCTGGCCACATTTCAGAATTGGCTCTCAGCAGCTTTTGCAACCCAGACTAGTTGACTTAATAGTTGTGTTCCTGACGGGCTAGAATTTCAACGCCATGCTGACTATCATCCCAAGATGTTCACCCAGGTCCATACTGGAAATTAGCTTAAGTGACAGGTGTCAGCAAATCCGAGCATCTCTTGAGGGGACGTTAATAGGGGTGGTTTCCATAGACACCCATTGTGTGTCAGCAGGAAGGTGGCAAATCTGGAACCTTTAATAAGTAATTGTCTTGAATTTGTAAAAACACCTAATTTATAGGACTACTTGGCAGTATATGTATTACCACAGGCATGCTAGATGTGCACATATAGTGCTAGGGGGCAGAAATACAATGTTGGGGACCAGCTATAATTGTAAGAAATATTAACCCTGCTCTGTTAACCGTGATTGTTTTGTTCTGATGAAAGAAGGCACAGTCTAACCTGGCTGGGGGTTGCACGTGGAACCTGGGAGCTCGCCTGGAAATGCAGCCTGTCCTCCCCACCAGGGAGCTGCCTATTCTTATGGAAAGATTAACAACCTTGTTGCAGACACCAGAACTGCCAGCCCTTTGAAGACCCCCATCCTTTTAATACTTGCAGGCCGTTGCAAATCTCCAGCCTGCATTACCTGTAAACTGCCCATTTGCCATACCCTTTGCTTACTTCCCATGTAATCTTTGTCCTACCCAATATAAGCAGCTGGCTATCGTGGGGTTCAGAGCAGATGTTTGTGGGTGACCTGCTGCTCTCCCTGCTGTCGGCAGTATTGGAATAGATGCTCAGATATGATTCAGCCTTGTCTCTGCTGAACTGGCTGAAGTAGTGACAGGCAGCAAGGACCCATTGAGTGCCTGGTTACAAAAGCAATGACCACTAGATGCTAAGAAGTGGATTCCAAGAGCAGTGATGGTGGAGACCTACAGTTTGAAAAATATGAACCAACTTCTCTGAATAAAGCTGAGGCGGCTTTGAGAATAGAGAGGTCAAACACTGTGGTGTGTTTCTCATGTCTATACCAGCATGGCGAGGTCCTTTTGGTCTAGGCCTTGGGAAAGATTAGAACGTTTAGGCAACTTCCCAGTTTGCCATTTCAAGAAATGCAGGCACAAAGACTATTTCTTCTGTTTGTCGTTTTTGTAAATTATAATGCATTTATACTTTCAACAAATAATGTACTTCACCCTTAGGTCCCACCAGTTAAGAATGTTAGTAAGACACTGCTTGTTCTAAAGAAACTCAATCTAAGGGGGAATAACACAAAAGCAAATAAAGCAATATGTAGCAAAAAAAGTAGACACCGGATACTAGGGAACTTAGGGAGGAGTCAGATCTGTAAGAAGCAACTTCTGGGCCGAGGGCTAAAGGAATTCAAAATTGAAGGAAAGTACAGGAATTCCAGCACAGAATTAGCATTGCCAGACCCAGGGCTTGTGATGTGTGCACACAACTGATTCGAAACTGGATATCGGCACTAAATTAAAGGTTAAAAGTGGTATGAAAGAGCCAGGAGGGATCTGTAGGCACTCCTTTTCTTTAAATACTTTTATTTACTAATGACTACCAAATCCTTTTATTTTAATCTCTTCACATTTTTCACCCAGCCCCCACCATTAGTAAACCACCACGTTTCTCTACCTCTCATGCAATGCTTGGCAAACCCAACTTTCTGATTTTGATCATTTGCTGGGTATTATGCAATATTTCACGGTTTTAATTTGCATTATCTGATTACAAGTGACCTTTAAAAGTTATTCCTATAATTGCTAGCCACTCAGCTGTGTCCATTTTATAAGAATTTTTCCTTCAAAGTGAATAATAAACCACTACACTCAAAGTTTCTAACACAGAACTGTCATTCCTACAAACCCTCTTTTAGGCCACTTAGGCAAGTGAAAACCAGAATAACCCTAATTCAACTTTGTTTTCCTACAGCCATTGGAGGCTGAATCCCATCTTCTCCTTTTCTTCCCAGATTTGTTGAAAGGAACCTGCATGGCCTTATCCTCCAATAGTTGAGGGCCTTTGGAAGAGAAACTTCTAGAGCTAGAGAGGGAGCACAGATCGCCTGTCCAGACCGTGAAGAGGTATTTCCAGGTTCGACTACCAGACGTAATGAGCATATTTGTGACTATCAGAAGTGGGTAAGGGAGGTGCCAAAATCTATGCGCTGAAGCCCTTGTTACGGGATGGGCTGAATTCCTTCCCTGTGGACAGGTTCCTTCACTTTACCTCTTTCCTCGGCGGATAACAAGGGTTCAAGCGGTGACTTTATCTTTGCGGATACATAGTTGGCTTTGACAAAGGCAACAGTTGGTTAAGCAACTTGTTTCCCTAAATAGCTACTATCATGTAAACACTGAACGTGAGGCCTTACCAATCTTGTCACCCAATTGGCTGAGGAAAATGATACCAGTAGTCCTAGAGGGAACGCAATTTCCATAAATTGTGCACTGGGCTTGCGTTTTTAACACGTAAACTAGGAGTGCAACAGCCACTGTCAGTGAGGATGGAAGTGGCTCTGAAAAGAGCCTTTGGGTTTCGGCGCAAGTGGGTAGGACGGAGCTCACGCCCGCTCCCCGCGGATGCGGCGCGCCAGCTGGATGTCCTTGGGCATGATGGTGACGCGCTTGGCGTGGATGGCGCACAGGTTGGTGTCCTCGAACAGCCCCACCAGGTAGGCCTCGCACGCCTCCTGCAGCGCCATGACGGCCGAGCTCTGGAAGCGCAGGTCGGTCTTGAAGTCCTGCGCGATCTCGCGCACCAGGCGCTGGAAGGGCAGCTTGCGGATCAGCAGCTCCGTGGACTTCTGGTAGCGGCGGATCTCGCGCAGGGCCACGGTGCCGGGCCGGTAGCGGTGCGGCTTCTTCACGCCGCCCGTGGCCGGCGGCGCCTTCCCGCCCGTGGACTTGCGCGCCGTCTGCTTGGTGCGAGCCATTGCAAAGCAACGAGAGGCTAAGCTGGGAATGAAGGGGAGAATGGGATCTCAACCAGTATATATAAGGCGAGTCCCGCTCTGATTGGAAGAATTATCTGTCCATCAAGCCTCAGAGTAAAGTTATTGCTAGCGGCGATTACTTCCGGATAGGTGGGACTTCCGGTGGGTTAAGACCGAAAATTAACTTTTTCCTCCCAAGCACCCTTTCAGAAAGGGTTTTCTATCTACCGTTTTTCTCCTCTATCGTCTTTATACCGTCTCTTTCACAATATTGTGGCTTTATCCCCGCACAAATTATCACAGACATATGTTGTTCGCTTGATAAGAATTGTACATTTTGGCGCTTAAACTGCCTTTCCTGTGTTCCTTTTGAAAAGGCGCGCGCTAAATGTGATTGGCTAAGTGACATGTTTTTGCCTCATTCAAGTTTAGGAAGACGGATTTCAACATAAATTTCTTGATTTCCCCATATGACCTTATACTTTCCCACTCCCCACCCCCAACTTGGAGATTTTTAAATGTTCTGTCTTCATATACTTTCCCTAAATGCAACAAGACCATTAATTGAAGTGATTTTATTTTCTGTTCTAACTACATTAATATATGTATTCCCTATTAATCAGCATCCTCACAGAAAGCATGCCACTACGTTTGACACTTTTACCTGAGGCCTGTGTAAAATCTTTAGAAAATACTCAAGTTTTTGAATGTTGCAAAGGTTACTAAGCCTTTTTAAAGTAACGCTGAAGCCTGTGTTAAGTTCTGCCTAAGGACATGAGGGTGGAGGCGGGAAGAGGATACGTGTAATAGCATAAACAAGAATGAAAAATAAAGAAAAGGGCATGACTGCGGGCACATAAAGTATTGTTTTCCTATTTGCAAACGGTTAAGGCTCAAGCAGTGTTGCAGACCGACTTACAGGTGATTTGTCCTATTAAAATGCAAAACTACCCAACAAGAGACTGAAAAGGTGGTTTATTGCGGCGGGTCATTAACTACATTTGCATTTGAATAGTCACCTTTGACCAAACATCCTCTTTATATACAATGTATTTCTTATCTTAACCTTGAGGTATTGCTACAGCGATCGCCTTAATTACCTGAAACCAAACACCTTTTGTTTCTACTTGGCTGATAACTTTTCCTTTTAATGTATCTCTTCAGAGGTTAATTTCGCTCTTATGGGTGTTTACTGACATCTACTGACCAAACACGGTAAAAACCATTTTCAAGCAGCTGCTTATGGAAAAAAAAAAAAATGCAAGCCCTTTCAGTGCGAAGGTGGGTGGCTCTGAAAAGAGCCTTTGGTTTAGTTGTTTGCGCTGTTGCCAAAGGAACGCAGGCTTCTACTTGCCCTTGGCCTTGTGGTGGCTCTCGGTCTTCTTGGGCAGCAGCACGGCCTGGATGTTGGGCAGCACGCCGCCCTGCGCGATGGTCACCTTGCCCAGCAGCTTGTTGAGCTCCTCGTCGTTGCGGATGGCCAGCTGCAGGTGGCGCGGGATGATGCGCGTCTTCTTGTTGTCGCGGGCCGCGTTGCCCGCCAGCTCCAGGATCTCGGCCGTCAGGTACTCCAGCACGGCCGCCAGGTACACGGGCGCGCCCGCCCCGACGCGCTCGGCGTAGTTGCCCTTGCGGAGCAGCCGGTGCACGCGGCCCACGGGGAACTGCAGTCCGGCCCGCGAGGAGCGAGACTTAGCCTTGGCGCGCGCCTTGCCGCCCTGCTTTCCGCGTCCGGACATTAGGAAATTAAAAATAAGTCTTTGCAAAAAGGAAAAATGGACACTCGCCCGAGCAGACCAGTTCTGGGAATAGGGGGAACATGGCCGTTTTTATAGGCAGGTCCTGGGAGCAAATCGGAGTGTCTGATTAGCTAGGAACAGACTCAGGCACATAACCAATAGGAGAGTCTCATTTCCATACCTCATTTGCATAGGCCGGCCCAAGGATGACAGCCTTGGCGTTTGTCTGCCAATGAACTAAGAGGCTCTCTGCATCCCTCATTAGCATAAAGTCTCTATAAGTAGCAGAGATTCGGCTCCAGCCGCATTTTCCTCACAGTCTCCTGAGATCTCAAAATGCCGGAACCAGCGAAGTCCGCGCCCGCCCCGAAGAAGGGCTCCAAGAAGGCGGTGACCAAGGCGCAGAAGAAGGACGGCAAGAAGCGCAAGCGCAGCCGCAAGGAGAGCTACTCGGTGTACGTGTACAAGGTGCTCAAGCAGGTGCACCCCGACACCGGCATCTCGTCCAAGGCCATGGGCATCATGAACTCGTTCGTCAACGACATCTTCGAGCGCATCGCGGGCGAGGCGTCGCGCCTGGCGCATTACAACAAGCGCTCGACCATCACGTCCCGCGAGATCCAGACGGCCGTGCGCCTGCTGCTGCCCGGCGAGCTGGCCAAGCACGCCGTGTCCGAGGGCACCAAGGCCGTCACCAAGTACACCAGCTCCAAGTAGACGCGCGAGCGAGCGGCCTGACTCCTGACCCCAAAGGCTCTTTTCAGAGCCACCCACACTTTCACAGAAACAGCTGGCTCGTTTTTCCTGTATCTGGGTTTCCTTAAAAGAGGCGGGTGGCTGGTTCGAGAGGAACGTGACTGGAGAGAAGGAATAAGTGTTTGGATAAGCATGGGGCCAGTGTCTGCCGGTTCAGTCCGGGTTCTTTCAGGCCATTGAAAGACGCGTTCCCTTTGGCCTTCTCCCACAGCAGCCAGCATTTCGTTTTTGCTTCCTCCACCAATGCCAGGAGCGCCCCCGTGTCATTGGGCGTCGGGACTATTTGAAAAGCCCGCCCTGGGTCCCAACGTGCCAGACAGACTTCTGAGTGCTTTTCCTAGTCGGTCTGAGAGAGAAAACTGCGGCCCCGCGTGAGGTGCGGGCCTCGTCGGGCCCTGCAGCCAGGCCTCTGAGCTAATCAGGACGGTCGGGGCTCCCCAAACTCGGCCGAGTTCTCCCTGTTTCTCAGGATGAGTGGGAGGGACGCCCGGACTTGCTGAGCAGGGCCAGTGCTCAGGCTGCGATCTGAGAGTCCAGGATCAGAAACCCCGAGACTCAAGTTGGGCCCCGTGTGGAGTAAGAGGAGCGGACCCAGAAACGCCCCTTGCGGTAGGAAATGGGCCGAAGGCTGGGCAGCCAGGACCCAGAGTGGACCGAAGGCCAGGCAGCCAGGACCCAGAGTGGACCGAAGGCCAGGGAAAGTCTTTCAATGCTCCCTCCCAATCGTGCCTCGGTGCTCATTTCCTCCTTCCAAAGCGATGGCACCCTCAGCCGCCCTCAGCCCTTCCGTGGAGATGGAGGTGTGACCACCACCAGCCCCGTCTCTGTCCCGGATATCCTTTCATTTTTGTTTCACGCTGTGACTGACCAACGTCACTGTCCTTAGCCAGCACAGCCACGCTTTCTCGTTGGTGGCTCCGTGTTCCTTACAACAGCTGTTAACTAAGGACGTTCAAACCGGTAAAGAATGTGAGTTCATTTGAGCCGAACTGTCCACCATTGCCGGGAAGCAGAATCTCAATGAATTAAGATAATGCACTGGAGAATGGTGGTTTTTCACCTATTTTTATAAATTACCATCAAGTGGGTTACAGGAAATCCATTGGTGATAGATCAGGGAGGTGGGAGAAAGCAAAGTGGGGAAACCTAGGTGATTGGATAAAAAGTAAAATGATAGACATGTGTTTCCTTCACACACACAGATGAGTACAGGATAGTTAACAGGCAACAATGAACAGATAACAACAACAAGGAGGGAATGGTCTCTGCTCTGGTGCCATTGGTTGCACCCTGAGGGTCCGGAAAAAGGGAAGTTACAAGTTACCCTGACAGGTCACAGGTATGTTATCTTAGATGCAAAAAGACAACATGCTCAGTAAAGATCAAAGTTGGTCTTTGTCAAGGAAGATACTGGCCTAGGACATGCCTACCTACTATAAACTGTTTTTTAATTAAAAGGTTTTCATTTCAGAACATCCTTTGTGGTTACTTTAAGTCTCTGAGTTTGCAAGGCTGTCAGGCAGGCCTTCCTGGAGGTAGTCAGGTTGGTTAGCATGTGGCCCCTTTTCGTCCACATACCATAAGTATATATTTTAGCAATAGCCAGAATGGCATGAAAATTGAGATAAGTATCAAACTGTTTATAGTATCGATGAAAACCAATCATTCATCACAAAACCACCAGGAGGATATACCCAGTGCTACCACATTCTTTGTCCCTTTGTCTTGTCCATCATTGGTACCCGAATTGTACGATTTTAAACGGCACTGCAACAGATAGGGAGCATATTTTGTGCAATATTGCTGGCTGGCTGTCTGCTGTGGCCCAATTGTCCTGTAAGTAAATGACCTGCAATAAATTCTGTGGAGTTGCCTGCTCTGATCTTGTGAAGATGCCTTCTCATTACAGTGGCCATTACACTCTTGCCCTTCATCAGACACCAATGCTAATGAAATGCAATGGCCCTGGCTGAGGAGTATGGAATGGCCGGGGGCGGGGGGGGGGCAGGTAAGCCAGTCTCAGTCCCATTTTCCTCCTCCAAACCTCATCAGTAGGCACTCGGGTCTCTGGAGTTTCTAGGCCTCTGGGGTGGGTGGGGAATTCTGAAGCTTGGAGATCTCTAAGGTCAGCACCAAAGCTCCAAAATGAAGTCTGTAATGGGAGGCCGATGCTTTGAGGAATCCTGGCTGCCACAATGCTCTGTCATTCGCCACACTGTTTTATCTTCCCAGTCTTTGCTCCTCGACTAAAAGTTATCCCGAAGTCCCTTCCCACAGAAATAATCTTCTCATGTGTCACCTGAAGCTATTGCTAACGATGTGACATATGACATAGCTTTGATTCAATCTTGAGAAATGCAGTGCAGTATTATAACTGCCAATTCAGCAGAGACGGGGCTGAATCCTATATGAGCATTTATTCCAATATTTCCGGCAGTGTGGGAGAGCAACAGGCCATCCACAAAAATCTGCTTTCCCCCCCAACCCCCCTCCTCCCATAAGCCAGCTCTCTATATTGGGCAGAAGAACAAAGATGACATGGGAACGTAGGAATTACAGGCATGGGGACGTGGGCACAGGATACTCATTGCAGGTTACAAGCCATGCTGGCTGGAGGGGGGCAGGGGGGGGGTCACAGAGGGCAGGCACCTCCAGGTGCCCCAGGACCAGATCACAGGCAATAAACTTGGGTTGTAAAGAGCAGGTGCCTCTGGGACTAGATGGTCTCAGCCACAAGGCTGTCAATCTTTCCATATGATAGGCAGTTCTCGGGACAGGAGGATGGCTTGCATTCCGATGTGAGCGCCCATGTTCCAGGGCGTACACTCCCAGGGAAATGAAAATGTGCCGTCTGTAATCAGAAAAGAACAATCACGGTTAAAGAGTATGATTACTGGTAATATTTCTTAGTTAGTGTCTAATATTCTATTTCTGCCCCTAATAGTTGCAAGACCTCCATCAGATGCCTGAAACCATGGATAGCACCAAACCTTATATGTGCCGTTTTTTTCCTATACACACATATAATGAAGTTTAACTTATAAATTAGGCAAGTGAGAGATTAGCAACAATAATACTGAAACAGAACAATTATAACAATATACTACAAAGAAAGGTATGTGAATGCTGTCACTCGTTCCAGGGTGTCCCTTCCCGTAGGCTCAGTGCTTTCGGGTGCAAAACATTGGGGCCAATCAGAACAGTTTCCTGCACATGAATGCCACTTTCCTCTTCACTAAGCACTTACCACACCCTGTGGCTGTAACTTTTGCCGTTTGAGGTGCAACAGCAAAGTAGCACAACTTTCTTTTTCTTCACAATTTTACAGACAGAAGATTTATTCTTACTGTCGATCTTAGCAACTTCAGCATATAATTTTTGCCCTCTTTCCTTATTAAGTCAAGAACTTTCACCTTTTCACTCAAAGGAAGGGAAGCACTTTACAGCATCTGTTTGACATATCTGAATTGCCAGCATCACTACTCTTTCGATTTGGAGCCATTATTAAGTAAAAGAAGAGTTCTTAAACACGTGCACTGTGATACTGGTAGCCTAGATGGTTACAAGTTAACAGTTGAAGAATACTTTAATTTTATGTGTGAGAAATACTTTAATTTTATGTGTGCTTTTGTCTTTAACTATAAAGGATATTTATAGTTAATATGTTCTAATGTTAAACAGTGGATCAATTTTGTGTTGTCATTTTTGTACTCTTCTCTGTGTGTGTGTGTGTTTTTTTTTTAATTAAAGGAAAAAGGTGAAGACTAATGCCGTATCCTGGTGTTGGGTGTGTTAGAAATTGCAGCTTCTAACATACAGTATTTACCAAATCACCAGCGACTAAGATGTGCCAGCCCGTGTTCTAGATGTTATAGTAACCACAGTGTGAAAACAGACAAAAATCTCTGTTCTTGTAAATTTACATCCCTTCAGGGGGAGAAAATACTAAATATTCATTTAGTATTCAAATAAAATATACAATCTACTACACCGTGGTAAGTGCTAAGGAGCAAAGATTTGAGACTGTTGGGAGATTTATAATGTTAAATATTCCCAACTCCCTTTAACTGAATCTCTGAAATGGAAAATATCTATATCTATCTATCTAAGATATATATATATATATTCCTTTCAAACTCTAAACTTACATTCTTGTTTACAGTATGGTGGTAGGCAGAGATGGACATCCCTCAGCTGATGGGTTAATGTTCTCTTCTCTCAGAGAGGTTACATATGACATTTCCTCAATTAACCTTTTCATTGTGTTATTTATTTTGCATGTGAAAGAA